TTTCTTAGCACTGTCCTTCACAGGTACTCTTGATCTATGCACAGGCAAGTCATCTACTATAACAGCCTGTTCAATGCATATACATTCGTTTCCGCTTAATGAGTAGGCTTCAAATGCTTTGGTTTTCGATCTGATCAATTTATTTCCGTTTACTGTTTTGATGGTAATTGATGCACTCTCTAACGATAAACCTAAGAGTCGTACCGCGCTTGACTTTATTAGGGTTGTATCTGAGCCGTTATCTAGAAATGCATAACCACAAACGTCCTTATCCTTAGCTCTAATGCGTACAGGGATTAGACCAAGAAACACATCCTCTTTTAGTGACTCTCTGTACCCACAATGACTTTCTTTAACGGCTCACTCAAGCCACCCTGAACTTGAAAGGGTTTATGCAACAATGGGTGATGCCAGTCCTGGCAACCCTCGATAGTACACGCGACACGATCATTACAATCCATTGATCTGTGGCCCCTCCAAAGACAACAAAAACACAAACCCTTTACTCGCTTTCGCCCACATATCGTTGACTGCTAATGTGGAGAACTGGAAACATTTATAAATCCTGTGATTTTGACTCCACCTTGGATGATCTAAAATCGTTAGATGGAAATTGCAAACTGCTTTGTCTTGGAATTGGATGAGTATTTAACCGTTGACACATTCTTCCTGAAAGAATAGGTGATATGTTGCTTGTGGGTAGAGAGTTACTAACCAATGAATTGGAAGTTGAATTAGTAAGATAAGATGGCGAATTTCTACCAAGAGTACTTGTTTTTTCTTTGTCTACCCATGATGTATTAGATGGTTTATTTAGATTATTTGCATCGAGTTGATTGTCATAATAATAATAGAAATAATGATGATGATATTGTTGTGGAGACGTATTTTTCCCTAAAATGGTCCCATGGTTCGTGTTCAATATGGATGAGGTAGCATTTGGAATTACTGGCGAGCGCATACGAGTGGTATTATCGTGTACACATATTGAAGAATTTTGATTGACTTGAAGACAATGACAAAATGAGATTCTTCAAAAATATATATAAACACCAAATCTCTTTGTTTTTTGACAAGATTTTACCTTGGTAACGGTAGTTACAATTGTATACAACTTAGATTTCGGATAACACGTTACGTGAAACTAAACTGGGGACATCGACCACTGTAATTTGGTTTACTGAATTAAGGCTAATGTTGTCCTCTTTATGCGACCAAAACAATATATCGCTCCACAGTTTAAAGGAAGCGCATGGTCAAATAAAATGTCCCCTCTGTGTAGGAAAATTAAGTCTTTAAATCCTCTAGTTGGACGTCACAATGTTGGTAATAAGACAGTGTACTAACAGAAGTTCTCAGTATTTGCTTTTATTGGTCGACCTGCATTTATAAACAAGTCTTTTAACGTATGAACTTCGATTTATTGAAATATGGATCTCAGCTAGCAAGCGCAAGTCTAAAGTCGGTATCGCATATTACGACAAACTGAATGGTTCCTGTTCACAACTAACCAGTGAAACGCTTCAAATTTGCTCCCTCCTCAAATGACAGTTAATCTTGATGCATCTCAATATCTTAATTAGAAATATTTCATACACACCTTCCTTTAATAAAAGTCTCCTTGCCTCTGACATATATCATTTGCAGGTAAAATTACAACATTCTACAGAGTTGATATTAACAAATATGCAAAGGATAAAAACGAAAAAAATTGTAACGGCTGTTAAATCAATTCTTACCTAAGTTTTGGGATAGGAATCGACATCATATTATACTCAGAAAGATCCTCTGCGGGTAATCCTTGATGCTACCAGTAAGCTATAAGGCACAGGGTTTGTTAGGATTCTGATTGCAGTGACATATATTAACTGGATATAGTTGTTTATCTCACAAACTTGCCACTCTTCATATTCAACTGAGTTATAAGTTCCCTTTATATAAGAGATGCTACGATAAAGTAAAAAACAGCCGCATGGGAGGGAGTTTTTTGAAGATGGTCTTATCGATTCAGTAATGATATTACACACGATTAAGAATTGTGCTACAGCTTTAGTAGCCATTAAACGGAGAGCGCACTGACATTTAAGGATGTAGATTTTATCAACAGTCAAATACGCGCCGGACCGTTGTCACTTATGGTACAGATTAACGTACATCTATTACTTTTGCTATGCGAGCATGTTTCATATCCGTCCTTTCAGGACGGATGATTCGATCGCGTGGAAACTCGGTCAGAGTAATGTGCCAATGTGATTACTAGGTCAGTCATACGAAATGTATAATTCGAAACATATATACATGGGTTTAATTTATTACATTGCATCAGCACATTGAGGTGAAATTACAAAGATAGTAGTATTGATAACAGTACCAGTGGTAATAAGGACCAGGCTTAGATAGTGATTCGAGAAAAAACGCGAAAGATTGGTCGGGTTCAAGGTTGATTTCGGAAATGGAAGACTAGGAAATTGCTTTCTTCTATTGCTCTCGGGTTATTCGCTAACAAGTTCGATTCAATGAATCAGACCCTCTACACTATTAAGTTGGGATTTTCCATCATTAATGCACCAATACTTCAGGATTTAAATGAAGTATGCAAGCAGTGATCATATACTTCATTGATGGGTAGGCTAACGCTCCAATACTTTTAGGAATTATGTTGAACCTACCAAATAATCACTTTAATTAATATCTCATCAACGTTACTGAGTGTTAGGATCTTGCATTAACCTCTTTATAACTAGATTACTAGGAGCTCACATTTACAGAGCTGATTTTTATATACGATGTCTTAGGACGAATTCGGTTGAAATAATAGTATTTCGACTAAAATGATTCACCTAGTTTCAAAGACTTGTGTTTTCTATTCACATAGATTTCTCAGCACCCATAACCCTAACGCGACTGATTCTAACTACCTCTCACCATAAATATGACTATAGCTTCAAATACAGTATGATTATTTACTTCAGAGACGCTACAACCCCATGCATAAACCTTAAAGACTCGTAATCGTCATTTTTCTTTTCATTCGTTAAAACCATCTGATCGGTGTCAACTGAGTTCATTTTATTCATACCTTAAATTATAAGGGACTTTCTTACTTTTTAATCAAGGTAGGCGATAATTGTAAGTGTAATATATAGCTCCTGAGAAGTATGGGATTTTTAATACAGAGGTAACAGGGGCTGTAACAACTACACGTCATATGCTAACCTCTGCCTATATTAGATTATAAATAAATGCCTATAAATAATCACGGCCCAATGATGCGGTCATCCACTGGATACATATTCTTGGCCTTATTTTTTTTAACACACAGGGTATTGGTACAAGGAGGCACCAAATACATATGCGCCACACAAATCTCAATTGATTTGTGTAAGGGCTGTGATACTGCCCGGGTGCCCAAACCGAAGCAGACTTGGCCTTATTAGAAACTAAACAAGTGAAGGCAAAAGTTACACTATGTACGATAAGAGAAAATTATAACCACCTTCTGAATAGTATAGTATTTGGAGATTTACTAAGACGATTTTTGGCAAGATAACAGCCAGTTATTATTTAAAAGCTGCTACTATATGCATTTACCCATGCAGACTACATGTAAGGACACCTGGAAATTTTTAGTTAAGCATCTGTCATAGGATCCTATGGTATACAATGGCTTCACTAACCCAATACATGAATCCCATTATACCACAGTAGCTAAATACAGTCCCACTTATAGCCATTGTACTTAATCCGGTTTAACTAAAAACTGGAACATATTGCTAACGTGAACAGACCCAAACGAACTATTAAATGCACTACGCGGATTTAAATCACATACTTATTTCATAAACGGTAGGGACCATACATTCACAAAATATGAGATGTAGAGAAAGTAACTAACTGTTGAAATGAAAGCGAATACCTTTAATGCACCAAAAGCCGACCATCAATTTTTTCAACTGCATACTTTAATAGTAAAGTATCACTCTTCTCCTACATCCGTCTGACGCATTATAAACTATATTTTTGAATACGAAAACACGAAGCCAAAACAATTTTAGAAGTCATTCTAATACCAAAAATGCATAGGGTAAGAAGACTCAATAAACAAATAAAATCTAAGTAACGTATGTCGTTGAAGTAGAAATCAGTTGCGTAAGACAATGTTAGTAAAAAAACTTTGTATAAAATACAACAGTAAAACTAAACGAGTAATATGATGTGAAATTTGGATGATCCACATTGTTACTGCTTTTGTGCAAATAAGAAGTCAATGCTCAAAAAAACCTGTTGGGTAAGTTAAAGTTTTGATAATACTGTTTTAGTTCATTTGAATCTAATTAGTTTCAACCTTTCCATATGGTCTTCTTATTCGGAACTATCATCGGTGTGGAACAGAAAGGCACCAAGGTGTTAAATACCCTGTTTGAATATTACATTCTTATAACATCTTCAAGACTTACACTCATCTTTGGGTGTACCATTCTCCCCTTCATGTTAAACTGAAGCTAACATAGTGAAACATATATCGAAGATGTGAAATTTAATAATGTGCGGTCACAAAAGACGGATTCTTAAAAATATTTTATTTTCTGGAACCTAACATGAATTCGTTGAAAGATTATTTTTAAAAATCATCCAAAAAATTCAAGACTTGACTAATAAAACAATAATACAACTAGGTAACTGACTTCAAATAAAACTGTTAGGGCATAAATTACAATGAAGACCATAATTTACACTAGTATGTACAAAAGTAACCCAATCGATTACCAATAAACATATTTAAGAGTAGTTACTGAAAGCTTTTGTAGGTTATGCATTTTGTATGGAGAATGGAAAGACTAGAAATGAATGTGAGCATTTGAAGATGATCAATAAAATCGCCCTAACAACAAAATGCTGATGCAAGCATCGAAAGACAAAGGTGAGCTGGAACTAAGTTTAGGAACGTAAATGGATTTCGATATTTCTGTTGATATGCATTAGTATCATCAGATGTATCTTCACAATTCTGTTTCAAAAGATAGCCAATCTCGTAATTTAGGAGGTTGTGACATTGATCTGTGTGTATGTTTAGGATGTTCACCTTTCTTTATCAATGTACCAGCGTCTTTTAACGTTGAATTACTGAATACAAGTGGATGTTGGAAAGTATTTCGGTTAAGGTATCGCCCATGGGCCTCGTTGGATATAATCTGATAAGTGGATTGTGAAGCCATAGGTAGACGTGATCCTAGCATTCCAGAGAAAAAAAGTGAATTTGACTCCATTTTGGATGATCTAAAATCGTTAGATGGAAATTGCAAACTGCTTTGTCTTGGAATTGGATGAGTATTTAACCGTTGACACATTCTTCCTGAAAGAATAGGTGATATGTTGCTTGTGGGTAGAGAGTTACTAACCAATGAATTGGAAGTTGAATTAGTAAGATAAGATGGCGAATTTCTACCAAGAGTACTTGTATTTTCTTTGGCTACCCATGATGTATTAGATGGTTTATTTAGATTATTTGCATCGAGTTGATTGTCATAATAATAATAGAAATAATGATGATGATATTGTTGTGGAGACGTATTTTTTCCCTAAAATGGTCCCATGGTTCGTGTTCAATATGGATGAGGTAGCATTTGGAATTACTGGCGAGCGCATACGAGTGGTATTATCGTGTACACATATTGAAGAATTTTGATCGACTTGAAGATTTCTTATAATTTGTGGCGGTTTGACTGACCATCTTTGAGCGGGAGAGCGTTGCAACTGAGCACCAACAGAAGAGGAACGTGATTGGCCAACTACTTTCCGTTTGTTTATATTGGGACGACCACAGATGAATTCCATCTTTGAAGAGCAAAAACTTTTACCTTTTTGTTCGGAATCATTATTTAAAGGGGTATGCTTTTCATGTTTCGTGCTGGCACATAAATCAACTCCTTTATTCGAGTTGGGTTCAAATTTTTCAATGAGTGACGTTAGTTGATTATGAACAGAATTTTCCGTAACAGGTTGAGATGTAGGTATATGAGTTGTTCTAGATGATAAGGATAACGTACTCCACTGATCAGAACCACTTATTGAATGCACAGAGGAGACTTGACAACTAGGATTAGAAAATGAATCTGACACGGTGGGACGGATTGACAAATTAGATCGACTAACATTGTTTTCCGAAATATTGTTCAAACATTTATTGTGTTGATTGACTCTGAGAGTGTACGAAGGTTTGGCACGCTGAATTGCTGGTAAAGGAGGGATCCCATTAATACTTCTGTTGGACAATAGCATATCAAGAACTTGGGTGGAACTTGGTGGACGACTATCACTCCCAAGAGATCCAGGAGAACTATCAGAACCTGCAGATCCGTAACCTGAAGAGCCCTGGGAGAGGAACTTATTGGACTTTCCCTCTAGTAGGTAAGTAAAATTTTCTGAACTCTGATCAACTATTGTATTTCGGGTCTTAAAAAAATGAGGATTTTGACCAACAGAAAACTGTTCACTAATTGTAAATGATGAGAGTTGAGGGGAAATATTTTCATTAACAAAATGGTCAGAAGTTACTGAAGATTTATGAATAGTAAACTGTGTTTGCTCGTTAGAATCAGAATTTACTTTAGGTGCTGCAACTAGTGTAACGTCTACCTCAGTTTGATTACTTACATTTTCCCATGATGCTTTTTTTGAATCAGAAGAGTCATCAAGAGAGATATTACTCACACCCCCGGAAATATCTGGACTAAGAGTGGTCACTGATTCGGGAGATTCAACTGTGCCAGTCGAATAATCCATAGAGGATGTGATGCTTGTAGGAGTTTTGCAATCCCAATTATTGGTCTTCGTTTCATCTAAACACTGTAAGTGTGGTAATGGTAATCCCTTAAGCCACTCTAGTACATCATGAGGTTCCTTGTTGTGCCGAACAAAAAATCCAGTACTCATTAATGAGCGATATTTTGGACGCTGAGTGTGGTCCTTTGTTAAGCTAAAAATGAAAAAGAGGATAATACAGTAAATCCCAAACAAATCAAACAGACTAATCAAAGAGTCAACCAAATGCTTACTTTTCCATTTTTACAAGGATGGAAACAGAAATTCTATTGAGCCGGTCAAAAATTTGAGCAAGAAGAGATCTACTTACCTCTTATTTATTTTAACACATAAATATCGGCACAAGGAAGCACCAAATACATATGCGCCACACAGATCCCATTTGATATGTGTGGGGGCTGTGATACTGCTCGGGTGCCCAAACCGAAGCAGGTAGTTATCTTAGGGGGCCAAACCTCGAGCCTTCGACCTGAACATCTGATCCACAAGGCAGTGGAGCATCGTGAGGAGATGCAGTTTCATGGTAACCGGTGACCAACGATTGGTTCATACGCCATTTGTTCCCTCAAGATACTGGAGCCCATGTACACCATTGGTTAGGGATCCGGTTAAAGCGCCGGAAATTCGCTTTTCGTCCTCTCATTTTCGTAAACAACACCCCCGCGACGAGAAGGCAGTGAGTAGGACTTCCCTGGCAGAGGCTGTATACGCGTGGCCATGTGAGAGCATTTCGAGAGGGAGAGTGGACTCTCCCCACTCTCGGTCGTACCAGGGCACTTGGGGCTGCTTACCTCTAATTTGTTCTGCTAATACCGACTATATTTTTGACGTGAAATATATCACGCATAAAAGTTAACGAATGAGATACCAAGGTTATTCAACAAACCTACACCTTACAGCCAACAATGGTCTTCTCATTGTCCTTCTTTAGAGCAGAAACAAGACTTTTGCCGTCTAAAGCATACGAGCGCACATACACAGGTTGATTACATATGTTTGCTTTAGTGAAGTGATGCAGTGAATAATAAGGTACACACTAAGTAGAGACACAGTCAAAATTAACAAAGCTTGGCACAGATGTGAACCAACCCCACTTCTTACACATTTGCAAATCGAGATGAAATTAACAAGATGAATAATGGCATCAATGACAGCGACTGAAAATTTTGTAATATAGCTCGAAGAGGGGATGAATTAGAGGAATAAAAAGTAGGAAATAATATTGGTGCTCAAGAATTAAGCGTGAATGTATCCCTACCACTGTGATCGATTCAGTGATACTACTCATCTCAAACCACTGATTGTGACTATCGCGTGTGTTCCATTTTTTTCTTGTGTGCTCACTCTATCATACATCATGTAGTAAGAAATAAAATAATTATTTGAATTTAATCATCAGCATTTATAGATTTTTACAAGTCGAAACAGTTCAAATTGACTAATTATTCCAACAAAACCACTTACATAGCTAGCTAACGTAGCTACTAAATCTTCAGTTTTTTGTGTCTAACACTGTAGCGCGAAAATAATTAGAATTTACTTTCGTACATCCAAACTTACACTGAAATTTTTGAAGACAAAAATTACAATTAACTCTCAAAACAGATTTATCGTCGTATATCATATCCAAATAAAGGACCGGCAATACAAATGGAGATAGAAATAGAATCATAAGTACTTTCCGTATAAAATTGGTCTAGAATTGAGGTGAGTGTATAGTGTCTAACTCGAATAGAATTAGTTTGATTACAAAATCCTTTAAAACTTGAATCGAAAATGCCTTTCGGTAAACACAAAATACTAGACCATGGGATTTATCTGCTGTACCATAGCTAACATGACTCACCTTTTTGAAATCATACAGATAAGATGACAAAGGATAAACAGATAAGATACTTAGCAAAATATGTAAAAATAAGAGATGATCAAGACTACAACAATAAACGAAAAGTAACAGACTTACCATAACTCGACGAATTGACGGAATGCAGGGGTAAAAGGTATGTGGTGAGGTAACGTTGGAGGTGGATCTGATATAATTTTAGTCATAATAGCAAACTCAATATGAGTCCCAGTGTATGGAAAAGATCCGGTTGCCAATTCCAACAATGATATTCCAAGTGACCAAATGTCTGCACGAACATCATATGTTGAGTTGTTAAGACGTTCTGGAGCCATATAACCAGTGCATCCCGGCTGCCGTGAACGGGCAATAGAATCCTTAAGAATTCCACTTATTCCAAAGTCACATAACTTTATGACACCTTGGTAACTCAAGAGCATATTAGATGGTTTAACGTCTGGAACTTATTAAAATTAGAGCATTACCTCTATGCATAACGTTATGTTTCCGTTTCAAATAGTCCAAAGCAGTGGTAATCTTTAAAATAAGATAAAGTAAACTGAAACGAACTTACAGCAACCGTCACTTTCCCCAAAACCTTTTCAGGAAATGGACGATGAAGATCATGATACAGCTTATCTAAGCAGGTTGACATGACTTCCATGCATATCCAAACATCACCCTGAAGCGTAAAAATGGTAAGATAAACTCACTCCGGAGAAGAATATTCCATAGCACTCAACGATGTAAGAGCAATCGAAACATTTTGTAACAATATTTAGATCCATCATAATACGTTTATTTTCCTCTTCATACGTAGATGACACACGCATTTGCTTAACTGCCATTACTATATTAGGCTTGGTACGATGTCGCATTTTGTACACAGAGCTACACGTACCAGAACCTAGACAGCCCTCATTCGCGAAATCATCTGTTTTAGCGAATAAAACCTAAAGCAACAATAACAAAAACACTGATTACCTTGTTTCCAAAGAGTAGGACGCCACTCCTTTTGGCAATTTGTTTTTGCAAGGATTCAAAATCATATCTATGCTGGGTGAGATTTAACGACGCTACAAACCTATCGTTTTTTTTATTAGTGTTAACGGAAGCATCTTGCTGTCGACTTTTTGAATGAGTTGCAGGAGATTCAGAACGTTGTCTTTCACACAACACTACACAGAATGCATAATTAATTGAAGTATAGAAAATACAGGCTGTTGGACGCTGGAATCGGGCCACATTTCTACGTGGGGAACCGACCGATGTTGAATTGCAAATATCATATCGCGATCCATTCTCAGAAGTGACCAGAAACTGCGAGGCCGAACAACCAACCGAGAGTTCATTTGACATAGGTAGACTACTGCGCCATAAAATATTTAGCCGTTGATGGGTTTAAACAACATTGATCATATCAGAAGTATTTTATGAAATAGATTACAGGCATTACGCCTACAAAAAAGATCATGTGTCTATCTGTGAGTTGCTGCACCGATGAATTCAAGTGATATAAAACAATAACACGCAAATTATGCAGGCAATCATCACCACAGATATATTCAGATTTGTATAGTAAGGACAGAAGGCCTACGGCCTATATTGTTCCTTTCCCAGTATGCTTCTGCGAGTGTCCAGACTTCTCTTGAAAGATTCAATTGAAGGTGCGAACACCACTGCTTTGGGCAGCAGGTTCCAAGTATTGATGACTCGGTGTGAGAACCTGTATGCCACGGGTATTTTGTTCGTTCTTGGCTTTTCTACTGTCCTGTTATGTCCTCTGAGGTGTCCCTGTCTAGCGGGAAGAAAAAAGAGAGTAAGTTAGGTCCAAAATCATTTCTCAGTATTCTGTACATCAAAATTAGATCTCCCCTTAATCTGCGATATGACAGGGTGCCCTCTGTACTTCTTCTAGGATATCCGAATCACCTTTTAAACAGGAGCTTGCAACCTGAACTCAGTTCTCAAGCTTAGTTCTCACTAAGGACGTGTATACTTAGATGAACATGGTAGTATCTAGTTTAATGAATGTCCGTTTTAATGCCCAGAGGTTTCGAAACCCCTTAGCTGCGGCCCCCCCGTCAATGGGTCGTTGTCTTAAGATCCTGACTTACTGTCACGACTCGATCCTTATGAGACCAAACCACTGGTAATTGCACTTTCCTATGTTATACCCATTAAAATTTGAGTCCCCGAAGTGCATGTAGACACACTTTGCCGCGTTGATAGGCATCAATCACTCTTTAGACCAGTTACTTATATTATTTAGGTCTGCCTGAAGAGCATATAAGTCTCTCTCCGGTTATTGATAGCCAGATCTTTAAATCGTCAGCGTATAATAACATTGGAGACTGTACTGTACATGGAAGATCATTGACATACATTATGAAAAATAAAGGACCTAGGACGGAACCTTGAGGTACTCCATCAAGTACTGGTTACCAGATGGAGCACTAGGAATTTATTCTTACCTTCAGTCTACGACATACTAGGAAATCCATGATCCATTTTAAAAGAGGTTCAGAGATGCCAAGCTTTTCCAACTTCAATAGCAGTCTATTTGTTGGCACCTTGTCAAGAGCCTTACTGAAGCCTATGTAGACAACATCCACTGAGTTTCCGTTGTCTAGCACCTTTATCCAACATTCCCTTGCTATAAGGAGGTTTGTTATACAGGATAGACCCTTTCTAAAACCATGTTGTTCTACGTTTAACAAGTTATTTGTTTCAATAAATTCCTTTATGGTCCGTTTGACTATTCTTTCCAATATTTTAACTACAACACTGGTGAAGCTTACAGGTCTGTAGTTCGACGGAACTTGTCTTGGTCCTGTTTTATGCATGTGTGTGACGATTGCGTCTTTCCAAACCATAGGAAACACACCCTGATTAAGTAACATATTGAATATCACAGTCAGTGGAGCCGCAATATATTGTGCAATATGTCTCAAGATTTTAGGGTGTAGTTCATCTGGTCCTGTTAACTTTTCCATGTTTAAGACGCTAAGAGCCTTAAGCACATCGTCTTGATCGAAGTCCACGGTGAGCAGGTGTTTTATTGACTCTTTAATTTGGTCTGGTTCTTTGTCCAAAGGAGGTTCCTGAGTGAAAACTGCTCCGAAATAGTCAGCCATAGGCTCTGCTTTTTCCTGATCTTCCTCTATCATTTCAGATTCACTCCCTTCTTTAATTAGATTTGGAATCCAATGATGCATCCTTGTTTTGTAGTTTATGTACGAGAATATTCTCTTAGGCTGCTTGAGTACTGATTGTGCCAACTGCATTTCATATTTTCTTTGAGCTTCTCGAATTTTTGTTATACATTCGTTTCTTACCGATCTGTGGTGTTCCATCGTACCTGCTGTGCCAAGGCGGATGGCGACATCCCAACATTTCTTCTTTTGTCTTATTAAACGTCGAATATCCCTGCCTATCCAGGGATGTCCGTGTTTCTTCTTCTTTGGGACTGTCCATGGTATGTATGGTTGAGTTACCCGCTTGTATAACTGCCTGAAATGCGTCCATGCCTCTTGTAATGATGCTCTTGAATCAATTTCCCAGTTTTCAGCCGATGCTGCGGAGTTGATGGCCTCCATATCTGCCTTCCATATGTTAGGACGGGCTGGTGCAAGTGTTTGACAGGCGATCTCAGCCACGAATTTGAATAAGATGACTGCATGGTCACTTTTCCCTAGTGATGGGAGGAAAGTCATTTGACCAACGTCATCACCGTGTGTGAAGACTAAATCTAAAAGAGAGGAGTTTCTGAAGGCATATCTTGTGGGAGTTCTAATATGTTGGAACAAAGCTAATGCAATCGATGTTTCTAACAGTTTTCAATCGAACGACGTTGTCGATGATCCTACTTCTAAGTTAACCCAGTTTATATACGGTGCGTTAAAGTCGCCTACTACAAGGCTTTTACCCTTGTTACACTAGGACTTAAGTTTACTTAGGAGGAAATCATCTACCACACATTCTGGACTGCGATATACTACAACTAATTCAATATCTTGCCGTCTACATTTCAGCCTACATCGCACCAATTCACATGTCCCTGAAACACGTGCTACTGTCTCAGCTATTCTTATGGTTAGGGTACTTTTCGTGTACAGGATAACCACGCCTCCCATACGACTTAATCTATCAGCCCTACTGGATAAAAAACCAGACAAGTGAATTTCATTATCTAATACTTCCGACGTTAACCAAGTTTCTGAGACAGCAATAACATCCGGTTTTTCGTTATCCACCATTAACTTAAGCTCCGCCATTTTATTTAGTAGGCTGCGAGCATTTTTGTAGCATACCTTTAAGTCTGTGGAGAACTTTCCCTTGCTACCCAGAGTGGTTTGGAGATCGTTTTGCTCCGAACTTTTACAATTTTAAAACCCTTAAGAACGAGGTTTCTTTCGCCGTTTTGGCGACGCTCATTTATTTCGACTTCTGCAGCTCGTCTCCTAATACGACCAGCTAGGCTGAGATCCTCACGGACATATATTCCGGATCCAAGCAGTTTACGTAAGTTACCAAAAATAAGGTTCCTTTCTTCAACCGTGGAAAATGTAACCTTCAAGAGGCGGTTTTTCTGAGGGCTTTTAGAATCCACCTTTCGTCCTATTTTATAAAGCTTACAAATGCCAACTCCTGAAACGGTATCTGGGAGTAGTTTGCTTATTAAGGACTTAATGTGACTGAAGTCGTGTTCAATTCTAGCCTTTGGTTCCTTATCGGAAGATTCTCTTAACTTATGAAAAATGACTGACCTCTCAGAGTGATCTGTCTTGACACGCAGTGGAATTTTTTGTTTCTGATACCGTCTCTTCCAATGACTTGCCAACCACCTGCGGTTTGCCTACAGCTCTTTTCCTCTCACTTCTTTTTCTCCGTGCTGAAGTCCATTTATCCTCACTCAGGACAGCCACACTGGGACTATTTGGAACGATGACAGTGTTATCCGGGTCTTCAATTTCCACCAGAGGTGTATGGTTTCCAATGTCAGTATCAAGCGGCACTTCACTTCATGTTAATTTTAACGGTGTTTTTACTATTCCATCAATCACAATCGGGTGTTTAACGGGTCCGGTAGCACCACTTACTACACTGACACATTTTTCACTGTCAGTGCTCGTGGTGTCTGGACATTCGCCATCCTTTTTGCTACAGGCCAAAGCCTCCTGAATTAGTAACCTTTTACTTGTACAGCAAAACATAGAAAGCCAATGCGAGTTTGGCTTCGAGCATCTTTTGTAGGCCGTAGGACTTAGAAGTGTACACATCTTATGGTACCACTTTTTACATTCACCGCACTGCATTCCTTCCTCAACGGGGAAAAAGCAGTTTGGTTGACCACATTTATAAGTCTTACTAACCATTGTAATTTGATTTAAAAAGTTTAAAACACACTATGATCACAACGTGAAACACGAGTGTCAGT